CTGTCTATAAAGGACAGTTACTAGTTTCTATAAGTAAGAGGTATACACTGAGACCTCTATGGAACGGACACCTGTCTATAAAGGACAGTTACTAGTTTCTATAAGTAAGAGGTATACACTGACACCTCTATAGAACAGACACCTGTCTATAAAGGACAGTTAGTGGTTTCTATAGTAAATGTCGGCTCTATAGAGCTGGTTTCACTGTATAAATACCAAAGTGTCCTTTAGTTTAGAGGCAGCTGCCCGTTCTACGGAGGTGGCCACACTGTAATTGTCAAGGGAAACACACCATCCGTCCACTACGTGGAGGACAGCTGTCCATTCTGCAAAGGTGACCGCAGTACACAGTTGCGACTGTGATTTAACACGGGTGATCAGCACCACCGCAGCAGAAACCGTAGAAATCGCAATCACCTATTATTGGGCTGCGATTTCTATGGCAGAAACAACGTCGTTGTAAAGTCGCTCTCCATCTTATCTCCGGTGCAGCACGTTATACGAATCCCCCCCGTGACAAAACTCCCCCCTCCCCAACCTGCCATGCATCGCGCATGCGCAACAAGGCTGAAATCCGCATACGCAATGCCAGACATGCTCATATAAGGGGGGGGGGGTCTAACACATCCGGCCCCCACACACACACACCATGCATACATCACGCATGACCGACCAACAAGGCTCAAATCCGCATACGCAATGTCAGACATGCTCATATAAGGGGGGGGGACTGTGTGACATAGGGGGGGGGATGTCTAACATGTCTAACATCTACTTACTAATTAGTGGTCGGATCACCGCTGGGACAGGCTAGCTATATATATCCAGATTCGAGCCTCTCTCGTGGGTCAGCGGGTTGACAAGCACTCATTCTTCACTCAAGCTCATCTCATATCATATCATTACTCAAATAACTCTGTTAAAATATATAATGTAAGGCTTCAGTCTGCCCTGCACACCCGCCGCGTTCACACACACACACGCGCACACACACACACACACGCTCTCTCTCTCTCACTCACGCTCGCACGCACGCACACACGCGCTCTCTCTCTCTCACACACACACGCACGCACACACACACGCGCGCTCTCTCTCTCTCTCACACACACGCACGCACGCACACACGACACGCTGACGTCACACACGCCGCGATATTACATTTACGAAAACCCGCGCGGCCAGGAACCAGATCACCCTCGTAACCATGGCGACGGCGGCGCGTCACTGCGCAGACGCGTTGCTATGACGCACGCGCGCCCTGCCTGTTACTTCCCGCCCGAATGCTTGCAGCATAATATCACGCAGACATTAATCCTGGTTCAACATGCGTGCAATCTTTCTCCAGCCCCTGCGCGCGTGTGTGCGTGCGTGCGTGCACGAACACTGAACGACTGCCTGGCACTAAAACTGGTTCCTTGTTCTGAACCCTCTGTGGTTGCTACTACTCAGAATATCACTGTATCTGTCTGTATACTGTCTTCCGTATATCCTCTTCTTCTTCTTCTTCTTCTTCTTCTTCTTCTTCTTCTACTACTACTGTGTCTCCTGTAGATATTCCACGTAGACTTTCTCCCTTTCCTAAATTACACCGCATTCAGTTCTCGCTACTTCTCTACATTCTTATATTCAACTCGTGCGAGTCTGTTGTCAGAAACTAAATTAGCCTTAAAATTAATCTTAACATGCACATTTTCACGAACTTTTGTAGCGGCCTCTATCTCCCGCACGCACGCACGCGCGCACGTCTGCCCGCCGCGCCCCATGAAAAATAAAGCCACTGTTACTACGAGGATGGATACACACACACTCTGCAATGAAGTATATAAAAATAGTGTCCTCCTCTTCCTCCTCCACTTCTCCTCCTCTGCTAAACGGGATTGAAAGATAAAACATAAGAGCATCCGATCCAGTCCCGCCCGCGTCAGT